ATAATGGTTTGTTTTTCAAATCATGCAAACATACCATTCGCCTCATAATATTTAAAAAGAGCAAGCTCAATGATTTGCAAAAGAAAAGCATTTCAGCGAATAAAAATAACGATTATGAAATAGCATTCCATTAGCTCTTGTTACTCGGCGAGTTATCAGAGAATGCGAACACACTATTCACCCGTACATAACTAAATAATGCAAACTCAATTCAGCTCAATCATGTGCAAAACAAAATTAAAACCGTGAATTTGAATGTCAATAACCTGTGTCAATAATAAAATGGCATTTAAAAGTAGTCATTAAGTTACTCGACGAGACGCTAAATCAGACAAACATACGGTTCAACTTCAAATAAAAGAAAGCCTAATAAAACCCTATCATATATAATTATGAATAATATTTTTAGCTCATCCAAATTCCTTATGTTTTCATTTTGCAGATGATACGGTTGCTTTTATTCTCATTACAATGTAACACGCTTAGTTTCTATTTTAAATGAAGAGTTAATAAAATTGAATGATTGATTTAAATGTAATAAATTACTTTTGAATTATGAAAAAACTAAATATGTAATTTTTCACTGCACAAAGAAAAACAAAAGTTCCAAATTTCACCAATCCTGTTAAAATAGCGGATGTAGCTATTGAACAAGAACCAAGTGTTATTTTTCTAGGTACTAATATTGAAGAAATTCCAGATTGGAAATGTCATATCGATTATGTTTGTTCTAGAATTTCTAGAAGTATTGGTGTCTTATCTAGACTAAGGAATTTTCTCCCAAGGAACATATTAATGAATATTTACAATGCAAACATTCTTCCCCACATTTCAAAAAGAAAAGCACTACAGTGAATTTAAATAACAATCGAAAAATGGCACTCTAATAAAAAATAGTTTCTCGACGTAGAACCAAGGCAAGCAAATAATATTTTACGATTCACCTGCAAAATAGAGTCAACTCACAAGACAAGAGCATATCAATGAAAACGTGAAAATTAAGAGAAATAATATCAATACACAATCACTCACTAATTAACGAACTGGATATCCGCTCCTTGTTCAGTGAATACAATATGTGGCAGTGAATGTAGGCAGTGAGAGTAATTTAATGTACCAGAGTTTGAAGTGACGTGTCAGTTGGGATTCCCCGCTAATGGGATTTCCCGCTGCTGGGATTCCCCGCTAAACAGCGCGCTGTCTTTCACATACCGCTGCAGCGGTATGTGAAAGACACTTCATTCACCACACCTTGTACCCCCCCCCCCCCCACTGCGTTATTTTTTTCTGCGGCACAGATTGGGGTTAGGTGCGTGTTGAGCCTATGGGAAAGTTTAGGGTTAGGGTTAGGGTTAGAGTTAAATCAAGACCTCTTTAAAAAAAAAACACCAATCTGTGCCGCAGAAGAAAATAACGCAGTGGGGGGGGGGGGGGGGGGGGGGGGGGGGGGGGAGTACAAGGTGTGGTGAATGAAGTGTCTTTCACATACCGCTGCAGCGGTATGTGAAAGACAGCGCGCTGTTTAGCGGGGAATCCCAGCAGCGGGACAGCATGCGTGTTACCAAAAATAATGTCCGGTAAAGGGGTACTTTTCACGCACCAAAGTCCGGCTCGTATGTAGTACACAAAAGCCCGTTTTACACACCGGACTTAGGGGGTGTTTTCAAAAGGAGGGAACATGCATATGCGTACCCAGTGGCGTAGACAGGTTTGACACCTGGGGGGATGACTGGGCTTGCAACGCTAGTGAGGGAGCGAAGCGACCGAGCGGGGGGAAGGTGTGGGAGGGGGGTGTCCCCCCTCCCACGGTAGGGAGCTTTTGCAATTTTGAACTTGAAATCGTGCAATCTGATGCATACTTAATGAGGTAAAATAACACACACAAGCGTGCACGCACACACACACACACTCACACACACACACACACACATACTCACACGCACACACACACACACACATACTACGCCTTGAATGGACAGACATACTGCGTTATTTTTTTCTGCGGCACAGATTGGGGTTAGGTGCGTGTTGAGCCTATGGGAAAGTTTAGGGTTAGGGTTAGGGTTAGAGTTAAATCAAGACCTCTTTAAAAAAAAACACCAATCTGTGCCGCAGAAGAAAATAACGCAGTGGGGGGGGGGGGGAGTACAAGGTGTGGTGAATGAAGTGTCTTTCACATACCGCTGCAGCGGTATGTGAAAGACAGCGCGCTGTTTAGCGGGGAATCCCAGCAGCGGGACAGCATGCGTGTTACCAAAAATAATGTCCGGTAAAGGGGTACTTTTCACGCACCAAAGTCCGGCTCGTAGGTAGTACACAAAAGCCCGTTTTACACACTGGACTTAGGGGGTGTTTTCAAAAGGAGGGAACATGCATATGCGTACCCTAAATAACACTGAGTTGGGGGGGGCGGGCCTTGTACTTGTATTTATGAAACTGAAAATTATTCCTGTATATGATTTGATAAAATTTAATACATGAATATTTATGTTTAAATTTCATATTAAGCTGTTACCATATGTTTTTATTAAAATATTCCAAACAAATTTTTCTATTCACAATTACCCCACTCGTCAAAGTCAAAACTTATATCACCCAATATTTGTCGTTCAACTTCACTGTATAATTATATATCATTTGTTGGGGTACAGGAATGGAGTTCCTTGAATCATGACCTAAGATCCAGTTCTACCATTAGCAGATTTAAATCAATGTACAAAAATGTTATTTTTCAAAGAATGGTATCCATGATTGAGTAGACTTCTCTTTCACGTCTATCTCTTTCTTTCCTTTTTTCGCTCCTTTCTATTCTTTCTGTGTAACCTTCTTTATGAGTGTGTGTGCGTGTGTGTGTGTGTGCGTGTGTGTGAGCGCGCGCGCGCGTGTGTGTGTGTTGTTGTGTATGTGCTAATGTGCGTACTTGTATTATGCAAGTCTTTACTTTTTATTGTTAATTTATGTTATCTTATCTTGTTATTGTTTGTTACAGCGCCCCGATTACAAGCAGATTTCTGCTTCTAAGGGGTCCTAACCATTAGGCCTATATTGTATATTTTCATTATAAATTGTTTTATACTGGTTGAATAAAGAATTGAATTGAATTGAAAAATAAAACTCAACATTTGAAAAAGAAAAGCACTACAGTGAATTTAAATAACAATCGAAAATGGCACTCTAATAAAAATAGTTTCTCGACGTAGAACCAAGGCAGGCAAATAATATTTTACGATTGACCTGCAAATATAATTTATAATTTGGAATGGATTGAAGTCAACTCAACAGGAACGTATTCTTTGGTATCTTTCTCACGTGCATGTTGGTAGAACAATATTAAAAGCATTTATTGTGCTTTTATCTCTGCTTACAGTTTATATGAAAAACAACGATGCTATAATATGTGCCAAATAAAATCATTAGATTGAAGAAAAAGATAAAAAAATAGTTTTTGTTATTTGATATTTAATTGTGAGTGATATCCATTTGTATACACAGCTCTCTGTCTCCCCTCTCTCTTTCTCGGTCTCCCCTTCCTCCCCCTCTAGCTTTCTCGCTCTCCCCTTCCCCCCCCCCCCCCATCTCTAACTCTGTACCTCTATCTCTGTCTGTCTTTCTCTCTGTTGATCAATTTTCACCTTGCTAATTGCGACATCCCTAACGTCTTGTTACGCAGCCCCAAATACCCCCCCCCCTCTCTCTCTCTCTCTCTGTCTCTCTCTCTCTCCACCACCCCCTCTCTTTCCTCATTTTAAATGGGTTTTTCTGTCGCACAATAGATGATTTATTAAAAGTAATGTATAAGTCATGTCCTCATGACATATGGGTCGAAAAGATAATTTGTAAGACTGTTGAAGACAGCATGAGAGAGAGAAAGAGGGGGAGAGAGAGAGAGAGAGGGGGGGAGAGAGAGAGAGAGAGAGAGAGAAAGAGAGAGAGAGAGAAATGGTGAGAGAGAGAGAGGGAGAGAAAGAGAGCGAGAGAGAGAAGGGGGTGATGGAGACAGACATAGAGGCAAATGTTTTCAGAGCAAAGAAGTTCATTTCAGCGCCATTTGAGGACGGAGTATGACACCATACATGCACTAAATAAGTGTTGACTTTAGTCACCCTATAGAGTGGTGGAGCGTGACGTCATCAAACATTGGAATTTCTCAATTTCTCAATTGAATATGTTAAATATTGGCTGAGATATGACCATCTGAATAAATAGATTGCCTATGGGAACTCAGTGTTATCTGGTTCATAACATTATGAACCAGAGCAATATAACACTGAGTTCCCATTGGCAATCTATTTATTTAGATGGTCATATCTCAGCCAATACTTAACATATTCAACAATATTTTTCTCAACTCTGGTGCTATATATAAGGCGGCGCCCCTGTACAATAATATTCTTTGATTTTCTCCGCTATCTGAAAAAATACAATGCAGAAAGTATTTGGTGTGTTTTCCCTTCATATACACCATAGCCCCAATATATAGGAACATCATCAAACCAATTTTGTTTTCTTCTTCTCTAATTTATTAGTCATCACGCATGACAAAAGGAGTAACTGAAGACTACGATATCACTTCAAATGAAGTTGGTCTGAACACAAGTATTGTTTTAAAGATTAATGGAAGCACTTAAAGGTAAAGACCAGTATTGGTAACGCCCCAATTTCAAAAAATTAAATGGAAGCTCTCATTACCAATCATGTGAAAGAATATGTTTTGACTAATACATGATGATAAAAAATTTGCCGGGAAACCGCCTACTAATTCATATATTTGGTAAATTTGTTTCTCTCATGGTCCTGTGAGAGATATAGGGTAGTCCCATATACATCTTTCTGTGTATAGTGCTTGTAACTTTACGAAGAATGGGCCAAATTTCTTATCATTTTGATGATTCCAGAACCTTGCAGATGCTAGATGCTAGATGATCAACCTTTTCTGATCGATTCCACAACGTTTCTTTCACAATTCAATCGCATGACCATAACTGGTCTTTACCTTTAAGTTTCATTTAACAATAATATTGTGCACTCTAATTATGGAATAATGAAAGAGGAATATCTACACGCCTTTATTATTTTAAAAATGTATCTGGTTCAACTAGGAGGATTCAGGAGCAGGGGCCTGCATCCTTTCCCCACCCAAATCAAATCCGGCATAAACTAGAGTTACGTTGTGCTTATTATACGTGTTTGTTCTCTTGCTTGTCGGAGAATTTCTGTCTGCTGGTCCCTTCCCTCGACAGTTCGGGGCTTTGTCATTATGTCAGTTAGATGAGTCAAAGTTTCTTGAAGCTATTGTGCAAAATGCGAATTATTATTTCAAAATCATGATGATGATAATAATAATAATAATTACAATAACGATAGTTAAGATAATATTAGTGTGGCTCATAATAATTTTTGACGCTTTACATATTAATACAGTTAATGAAAACAGTTGAGAATACATGTACAGCAGATACAACTTTTTGAAACAGAAAGCAGACAAATCAATGAAATGGAAACTGCAATGTTCTAACATAGAGATATATCTGCATGAGAGGTTAACTTTTAAGATTAGGGTACAACGGGAAGATCGACATAGGGTATGTGCAAAATTAAATTGTATTGGCTAAAATGACGGTTTGATTAACTTAGATTAAGCAAAGGGCGACCTATGGAAGTATGGTACATCAAAAATTGTAATCTCCAAAAAGAATAACTTCTAATTATTATCATATAAAGCCTTTGCAACGACAGAAGCCACGGCTCCCATAGTGGGTGCCACATAACCGGATGCTCCAGCAGCTTGGAGCCCAGCGACCACACTCGCGCCATACCCAGTGGTGGCGGCGGTTGACATCATTCCCGCGGCACATGACCCAGCAGCAATACCGGCCGTTGTAAAGCCGACAGCAGTAAGCGCTATAGGTGCTGCAACGGCTCCAATTGCGATTGTTCCAACACCCAATGCGATGTCTGACAGCACCCCGGCATTGGCGGTGTTCCTGAATGAGATTAATTCAGAGATGAGAAAGTTAATGCAATTAGAACATGATCATGGTATTGATTACAAACATTCAAATTCAAATTCAATTTTATATTTATAGGATCATTTTTAATATTTACTCAACCATGGACCCTACTACACATGGGCTAAGAGGCGTCCCCGTCCGCTTCCTTTTTGAGGGCCGCCTCCAATTTTTTTTGTTGAATAATTTGTTTTTGCGTACGCAGGGGGGGGGGGGTCGAGCCCCCTCAATTTTTTGTTTATATGAGTGTGTTTTGGAGGAAACCTAGTCCCCCCCCCTCAATTTTTTTTGTGCCAAATGGATGACAAAAAAAAGTGACCTTACCCCCACCCCCTTAAAAAGAAATATCGGTCGGCCAAATTTCCGGGACAATTTTTTTTTAAGAGCTCTTCCCTCCCCCCCCCCCCCCCCCAGGACATTCACCGGCTGGCTGTGTCGTTGCGAACTTTTCGCGACTTAAGACCAGTTAGAGGAGCAGTGCACCCCAAATTATGACAATTCGTGTGATATTAGATTGATTATTAAAGAAGTGGACACTGGTGGACATTATATCTGGACTTGCCAAACTTTGAAAAATACATATTCTTTATTGTCCTATTACCTTCTTAAGTTCTTTTCTTTGGAAATGGATAGGATAAGTTTTAAAATGAAGTTTAAAATCATTGTGTTACAGCCAAATGTCCAGGTTTCTCTTGTAAACTACTTCTAATTTCCTATTGAAAACTTCATATACGTCTATATTATGTACTCCACAATTGCACATGCATTTCCGTGATTTCAAGCGATTCAGTTACTTTTTCGCAAGCATTTCGTTGATTCTTCAAGGCACAGCTTTGGTTCTTTTATGACTGGCTGGCGGCGGTCGTGATGAGATCAAAGCTTGGAAGCATGTTTGGAATGTTATTATGATACTTTTGACAGAGTCAGGTGCACGAATATCGTGGTACCAATCAGTGCCCATTTGAAATGGGTCCATGGTTCAACAAATGAAAACGAAATCTAAGGTGCCGTTTTCACATTCTAACTGAAGGGTACATTTCAACTCTGATAAGTGCCATTTTCTCTTCTGAAAAGAGCCACTTTTTCCCTATTAATTCACATTAATCGCACTGCCGCCTACACAACTTTATACGATTTTGAAATGTTTATTTATCAGAAGTAAAACGGGGCTATTATTAAATTGGTAAAGGCTGGCACCTAACATTAGAAACAAAATTAAGAGAGGACATCAGATGTTAAAAGCAGTACTTTATTTGTTACATAATATTATAAAGAAATGTTTTTGCACTTTTATTAGTCTAAACGGGCCCCTCAGAGCCCAAACTTGTATTGCAGCCTTTAATAAGCCAGTATTTGCTATACACTTTTTCAAAATAAATTCCGGGGGGACGACCCCCTAAAAAATTGGGGGGGGGGGACGTGCCCCCCCCCCCCGATCCCTGCCGCCCCTGAGTAGATATACAGAACTTACAAGACAAGAAGCACGAGAAACAGAGCAGCCAACTTCTTCATGATTATTGAGAAGATGATCGCTTTCCAATGAAACTGATAAGTGGTAAAAGAGAGATTAAAAAAGACGAGAATGAATAATATTTGATGATGGTGATAATGGTTTGTTTTTCAAATCATGCAAACATACCATTCGCCTCATAATATTTAAAAATAGCAAGCTCAATGATTAGCAAAAGAAAAGCATTTCAGCGAATAAAAATAACGATTATGAAATAGCATTCCATTAGCTCTTGTTACTCGGCGAGTTATCAGAGAATGCGAACACACTATTCACCCGTACATAACTAAATAGTGCAAACTCAATTCAGCTCAATCATTTGCAAAACAAAATTAAAACCGTGAATTTGAATGTCAATAACCTGTGTCAATAATAAAATGGCATTTAAAAGTAGTCATTAAGTTACTCGACGAGACGCTAAATCAGACAAACATACGGTTCAACTTCAAATAAAAGAAAGCCTAATAAAACCCTATCATATATAATTATGAATAATATTTTTAGCTCATCCAAATTTCTTATGTTTTCATTTTGCAGATGATACGGTTGCTTTTTATTCTCATTACAATGTAACACGCTTAGTTTCTATTTTAAATGAAGAGTTAATAAAATTGAATGATTGATTTAAATGTAATAAATTACTTTTGAATTATGAAAAAACTAAATATGTAATTTTTCACTGCACAAAGAAAAACAAAAGTTCCAAGTTTCACCTATCCTGTTAAAATAGCGGATGTAGCTATTGAACAAGAACCAAGTGTTATTTTTCTAGGTACTAATATTGAAGAAACTCTAGATTGGAAATGTCATATCGATTATGTTTTGGTGTCTTATCTAGACTAAAGAATTTTCTCCCAAGGAACATATTAATGAATATTTACAATGCAAACATTCTTCCCCACATTTGAAAATGAAAAGCACTACAGTGAATTTAAATAACAATCGAAAAATGGCACTCTAATAAAAATAGTTTCTCGACGTAGAACCAAGGCAAGCAAATAATATTTTACGATTCACCTGCAAATAGAGTCAACTCACAAGACAAGAGCATATCAATGAAAACGTGAAAATTAAGAGAAATAATATCAATACACAATCACTCACTAGTCAACAAATTGGATATCCGCTCCTTGTTCAGTGAATACAATATGTGGCAGTGAATGTAGGCAGTGAAAGTGATTTAATGTACCAGAGTTTGAAGTGACGTGTCAGTTGGTATTCCCCGCTAATGGGATTTCCAGCTACTGGGATTCCCCGCTAAACAGCGGTATGTGATAGACACTTCATTCACCACGCCTTGTACCCCCCCCCCCCCCACTCCGGGGTGCGTTATTTTTTTCTGCGGCACAGATTGGGGTTAGGTGCGTGTTGAGCCTATGGGAAAGTTTAGGGTTAGGGTTCGGGTAAGGGTTAAATCAAGACCTCTTTAAAAAAAAGCCCCAATCTGTGCCGCAGAAGAAAATAACGCCTCGGAGGGACCGCATGCGCGTTAATACCAAAATGTCCGGTAAAGGGGTACTTTTTACGCACCAAAGTCCGGCTCGTAGTACACAAAAGCCCGTTTTACACACCGGACTTAGGGGGTGTTTTCAAAAGGAGGGAACAGGCCTATGCGTACCCTAAATAACACTGAGTTGGGGGGGGGGGGCGGGCCTTGTACTTGTATTTATGAAACTGAAAATTATTCCTATATATGATTTGATAAAATTTTATACATGAATATTTATGTTTAAATTACATATTAAGCTGTTATTATCTGTTTTTATTAAAATGTTCCAAACAAATTATTCTATTCACAATTACCCCACTCGTCAAAGTCAAAACTTATATCACCCAATATTTGTCGTTCAATTTCACTGTATAATTATATATCATTAATTTTGTTGGGGTACGGGAATGAAATTCCTTGAATCATGACCTAAGGTCCAGTTCTACAATTACCAGATTTAAATCAATGTACAAAAAGGGTATTTTTTAAAGAATGGTATCCATGATTGAGTAGACTTCTCTTTCACATCTATCTCTTTCTTTCCTTTGTTCGCTCCTTTCTATTCTTTCTGTGTAACCTTCTTTATGGACGTGTGTGCGTGCGTGTGTGCGTGTGTGTGTGTGTGTGTGCGTGTGTTTGTGTGTGTGTGCGCGCGCGTGTGTGTGTGTTGTTGTGTATGTGCTAATGTGCGTACTTGTATTATGCAAGTCTTTACTTTTTATTATTAATCTATGTTAATTATCTTGTTATTGTTTGTTACAGCGCCCCGATTACAAGCAGATTTCTGCTTCTAAGGGGACCTAACCATTAGGCATATATTGTATATTTTCATTGTAAATTGTTTTATACTGGTTGAATAAAGAATTGAATTGAATTGAATTAAAAAATAAAACTCAACATTTGAAAAAGAAAAGCACTACAGTGAATTTAAATAACAATCGAAAAATGGTACTCTAATAAAAATAGTTTCTCGACGTAAAACCAAGGCAAGCAAATAATATTATACGATTCACCTGCAAATAGAGTCAACTCACAAGACAAGAGCATATCAATGAAAACGTGAAAATTAAGAGAAATAATATCAATACACAATCACTCACTAATCAACAAACTGGATATCCGCTCCTTGTTCAGTGAATACGTGGAAGTGAATGTAGGCAGTGAGAGTGATTTAATGTACCAGAGTTTGAAGTGACGTGTCAGTTGGGATTCCCCGCTACTGGGATTTCCAGCTACTGGGATTCCCCGCTAAACAGCGGTATATGAAATACACTTCATTCACCACGCCTTGTACCCCCCCCCCCCCCCACTCCGGGGTGCGTTATTTTTTTCTGCGGCACAGATTGGGGTTAGGTGCGTGTTGAGCCTATGGGAAAGTTTAGGGTTAGGGTTCAGGTAAGGGTTAAATCAAGACCTCTTTAAAAAAAAAGCCCCAATCTGTGCCGCAGAAGAAAATAACGCCTCCGGGGTCGGCGGGACTGCATGCGTGTTACCAAAATGTCCGGTAAAGGGGTACTTTTCACGCACCAAAGTCCGGCTCGTAGGACACAAAACCCCGATTTACACACCGGTTTTAGGGTGTGTTTTCAAAAGGAGGGAACATGCATATGCGTATCCTAAATAACACTGAGTTGGGGGGGGGGGGGGAGCGGGCCTTGTACTTGTATTTATTAAACTGAAAATTATTCTTGTATATGATTTGATAACACTTAATACATGAATATTTATGTTTAAATTTCATAATAAGCTGTTACCATCTGTTTTTATTAAAATGTTCCAAACAAATTCTTCTATTCACAATTACCCCACTCGTCAAAGTCAAAACTTATATCATCCAATATTTGTCGCTCAGCTTCACTGTATAATTCTATATCATTTGTTGGTGTACGGGAATGGAATTCCTTTAATCATGACCTAAGGTCCAGTTCTACAATTAGCAGATTTAAATCAATGTACAAAAAGGGTATTTTTTAAAGAATGGTATCCATGATTCACACTAAGGAATAGGGGTACATTTGGGGTGCAGATCGCTGCTACAATAGCCTACAATGCACCTATAGGGCGCAAGTCTGCAATACGTGGCTGCTATTGTAGCAGCGGTCTGCACCCTATGGTGCAAATTTGTACCATTATTTTTTAGTGTGTTGAGTAGACCTATCTTTCCCATCTTTCTTCTACTTGTATCTCTTTCTTTCCTATTTTTCTGTGTAACCTTCTTTATGGATGTGCGTGTGTGTGTGTGTGTGTGTTGTTGTGTATGTGCTAATGTGCTACTTGTATTATGCAAGTCTTTACTTTTTATTGTTAATTTATGTTAATTATATTGTTATTGTTTGTTACAGCGCCCCGATTACAAGCAGATTTCTGCTTCTAAGGGGTCCTAACCATTAGGCCTATATATATTTTCATTGTAAATTGTTTTATACTGGTTGAATAAAGAATTGAATTGAATTGAATTGAAAAATAAAACTCAACATTTGAAAAAGAAAAGCACTACAATGAATTTAAATAACAATCGAAAAATGGCACTCTAATAAAAAATAGTTTCTCGACGTAGAAGCAAGGCAAGCAAATAATATTTTACGATTTACCTGCAAATAGAGTCAATTATAAAATGGCTCTAGTATTTTAAGCATCGTGATTGGTCAATACGCGTCACATGACATTGACAAATTTTTGATGCAAGCACGATTTTGCAGAAATGAGTGCAGAAAAAGCGCAACAAAAAGTTATATTGCACGTGACCATGGAGATCCAGTGCGCGCGCGTACGTGTATAGTACGCGCTCCCTCGAGTGCATTGTAATTAGTGTAGGCTACGCGTAGCTAATATTGTACGCTCCACCATGATCCCCAGCGCAACGTTCGCGTAGCTTAGCTCTAGCATGGACTTACTAGACATAAAAAGCAAATTTTTATTTTACTTTTGCCTTGGATTTAGGCCTGTTTTGACTTTTGGATTTTATAATTAAGCCAGGAATTTCAGCTGTCTGATGTAGATTCATCGACCCACTGTAGACCTCTGTGGATTTTATTTTTAATCAAGGCAATGAATCCCATTGACTTTTTGGTAAGCCTGCAAGGTCTTAGTCTAACTTTTAGAACCAACCTAACTCTAGATCTAGATCGAACTCTCGTAGACTCTAACTTAAGATCTAAAGTTTCGTTTGTTGCTATTTGTGTCGCTATTTTATAAAACAAATAACGCACTTGACCACTTGTGCGAAACGTAAATGCAGTGTACGCTCGGTTTCTTCAGATGGTTCGCACTGTCAACTCGCCGCAAGCGGCTCGTTGCACAGAGCGGCACCAATCTAAAGAAACCTCGCGCGTACTGCATTCACCGCTATTGCACTCTGGGACGTGCGTTATTTGTATACTCACAAGACAAGAGCATATCAATGAAAACGTGAAAATTAAGAGAAATAATATCAATACACAATCACTCACTAATCAACAAACTGGATATCCGCTCCTTGTTCAGTGAATACAATATGTGGCAGTGAATGTAGGCAGTGAAATGGGTTTTAATGTACCAGAGTTTGAAGTGACGTGTCAGTTTCGAGGGTCTGTATATTGCACAAAGCCTTGGGGGGGGGGGGGGCACTTGGCCCTGCCGGTGTCGGACTACCTGCGTCCAGCTACACGAGCCACCAGACGTACCTCAGGAAACTCCTTCATCCAATACTCCACCCGCACCAATTGTTTTAAACACTCCTACATTCCACGTACCATTAAGGACTGGAACTCACTACCCTCCGACATCCAAAGGACCACGAACATTGACACCTTCAAACTCCAAGCAACCAACTTTTTCCGCAACCAAGACTCAAGCAATAAGAACTAAACAAGCACAGTGCGCACCCCCTCATTCCTCCTCGCTTGGTTCCTTACGGAACGTTGAGGAGTACTCCCGAAGAAGAAGAAGAAGAAGTTGGGATTCCCCGCTACTGGGGTTCCCCGCTAAACAGCGTTATGTGAAAGACACTTCATTCACCACGCCTTGTACCCCCCCCCCCCCCCCCACTCCGGGGTGCGTTATTTTTTTCTTTTCCGATAACTGTATACACTATTTCATACTTATCGCATGGCAGCTACTTAAGTTCATCTCTTACATACTTTCGTTTCGCTTTATTTTCCAGGAGTTGCTGCTCTTATCCTTGCCGCCAGCCCAAGCATGTCCCCCATCTTCCGTCTACAGCTCTATGCTCAACTCCGCCACCAGCGGTAAGGTGACCAACAGGGGCTGGCTCTCACCCAACCTTCTCCTCTTCACCAACTAAATCAAAACAACATGGCTGACAGGATATTGAAATGAAATGGGCTGAACGCTGATTTTAGAAATTGGAAAATATTTCATGTAATAACAATGTAATTAAAGATGAATAAATCGATTATTCATCAAAAATAGATGTGAAATAATGACTTTCTTGTGTCACATCTGCTCATCAAAGTCAATGAACCTGTAATAAAATGAAAGTACCAAGTGTGCGTGTGTGTGTGCGTGAGTGTGTGTGTGAATGTGTAGGAGAGAGAGATAGGAGACAGCCAGAGACAGAAGCAGGAATAGAGACATAGACGGATCGAGATAGAGACACAGATAGAGAGACGGACAAAGATCAAGAGAGAAAGAGTCAGACAGGCGGAGACGGACATACATACAACCCATGTAGGAGGACGAAGGGAGAGGGAGAGAGAGAGAGAGAGAAAGAGAGAGGAAGAGAGAGATTGAGAGAGAGACGATATTGGCTCTTGAATGATAAAAGACGTGTCGCACGATTATTAGATTACTCTGTTATTTTATTTCACTCACACCGAATATGAATACAGGCAATACTATAATCAACATTAAAACGAATACATCAAATTAACATTTAACTTCAACTATAGGACGATGTCTTCAACTTGATTATATAACAACTAGAACAACTGTTCGTATTTCAACACATACATAGGATAGAAATTCCGAGTATTTACAGTGATTGCAAATTGGGATGGCCTTTAAAGTACATCTAAATCGCACGCATAATTTTGAACTACATTGTTATTTGAATTAGAAATTAATCAAGCTTATACATTCTTATTTTCAATTCCAAAACTTCTCTTCGCCTTTAGGCCTATAATAATTATTCATAAATCTCGGTCTTCCAACAAATGTTAACAATGTTAATTCTTCGATTCAGTATTATGTTCAATCGACCAGCACGAAACACTTCCCTTTCTGTGCGTATATAAAACGATCGTCTCGGTCCACGAGACGGACGGCTCTAGGAGACTGACGAGCCACCACACTGACAATGTCGCACTGACAGGCATTCTGAAAAGTTGTCTTAGGGTTGGTGAGACCGACAGTCAAGAACTCCGACATATTGTTCACGTTGGCCTGCTGAAAACTTCTCTGAAGGTCGGAGGTGTCGATCAACGGGGATTTCCATAGTTAAAATCTCTTCTCTCTTAAACACTTAAACACAATCCATACAAATAATATCGACACAACATTGTTCTGCGCGGGTTCTACTCTTTCAAATACCTGTAACGGACACGAAAAGTAATTGAATTCCGAAATGAAATCTCCCAAGTACTATTGTGAAACCCGGCTTTCCAATCGATGATTAGAAAAAAAGGATTATGTTCTGATGAATTTGAGTTGTTCATGTCAAAGATGACTTCTTCCTGTTTCATATGATACCAACAAGGGCTATGCATGAATACACAAATCTATTTTACAGTTTCATGGGCAATGTCAATAGTAGTTTACGTACAGAATGAATAATGTAATTACTTGTAAGTATCATGCAATAAAATAAATAAAAGATTAAGATAATCAAAAAAGATAACTGATGTTTCATGATGTACATTTAATCATTTTTCAAATATTTTCAACCTGAAAATGAGTCCATAATATTTACAATTTGATCAGTTTGATGGACAGGACAATGGGATTGCAAGACAAAAATGAAAGGAAAAGCAAATAAAAGAGAGGTTCAATGAACGGCCATTCATTACATTGATCACTAAATCCCAATCTCATAAGCAGATCGATTTTGACATTGTTATTGTTATTGACATTGATATATCTAGCTCTATCATAAGCTCTATCATTACAAATGTGGTATCATAATTGTGGAAGAAAAAAAAACTAATTTCTGCTTGGTGATTAGAATGCAAACACAGGAGTCTAAATAATCCAAGTAATAGTTTGTACAATCTATCGTGACCGTGACATCATGCAAACTTTGCCCCAAAACACGTCTA